TTCCAGTGCTACATCAATTTGTGCAACAGGTTGAAATTTGTCAACAATTGAATTGTGCTTCTTGTTCTATATTTTCACCTTCTATACATTCTGGTTGGGTTACATACTGTGCTAATTCTCTGTATTACACTGTTCCTTCACCTACTGTGTTTTTGCTACATGCAGCATGGCAGTAATCTCTGGTGCTACAAGTATTTTCATGTTATCTGTAGTGTCTCTATACTACTGTGTTTTGATTGAACTCTTGGAATTTGATGATGAGATTAGGCTTGGTTTGGAACTTTCAGATATTTAAGTTCTAAAGCTCGCGAGTCATCAACCTGCTGCTCTGACAATAAGTTTGAATAAGTGAATGTGAAGCTCAGATCTGCTGACAAGTTATTTGAGTTGGCAAATGGGAGGTTTAAGCACCTGGTGGCTGTTGATTTTGAAGGCAATCAAAAATTAACTCTGCTTTCGTGGGAAAGAAAATGAGTTGCCCAGAGTCCACCCTGCTGGAACTTGTTTTCCAGCTGCCCGAGAGGAGATTTTCCTGCAAATCAGGCAGTTCTCCATACTGCTGAAAATACCATCTCCGCCTGGTTTTTGCCAGTGGAAATATCACCGTCACTGCTTTTTTCATCGTTATTAAAGTGGTCTGATGTTATTCAATTGCATTCCTTTCTATTGAATTTTCAGTTCCCATTTCTTTCTTATCTATCTCTTCTTCCCTGAGATACGATTCTTGAGTTGTTTCTTACTTTCCTAGCTCTTCTTATATTTCTCTGTAATCAATTATTGCTGCCTCCAGGATTTGAATCCTGGAAGGGGGTGCAAATGGGAGGTTTGAATCAATTCCTTGAGCTTTTGGAGTTTCCCCTAATTTGTGATGCTCTTCCTTCCCCAATCTGTTCTTCCAATCTTTCACATCCATTGCAGCTCTCTCCCTGTTTTCTCTCTATATTGGTCTGCATTCCTGCCATTGGTAACTTTTGGTGATCACATTGACCTTTGACTTGTTCATCTTAGGATCATGAAACCACTGCAATATGTGCACTGTTTAGGAACATATCCCTATTGCATTGGCTAGTTAAACCTCTAACCATCTCCATCATCTATTATTACTTCCTGGTGCAAAGCAGCATCATGTTTCACCTCCACACAAATTTGTTGACATTCCATTTGCCTGGTGCAGAGCAGCATCAAGTTTCACCTCCACACAAATTTGTGAACATTCCATTTGCCTTTTCTATTGTTGCACATTCTGTGGAGACTGGCTTACCCACAAGGAAGGACTAAAAATCACTTCAGCCAGAGAGTGTACCAGTGCATTTCCTTCTCAATAAATATACAAAAAGGAAACATTTGTATTGAGTTAATGCAACAAGGAAACATTCAAACCCTGGCTAATCTTGAAATGTTTATTAAAGGTTCCACAGGGTGCCAATGACAGGGATGAATTCAATTTTTTTCATTCCCTTAGTTCCCAAAATTGTAAATGTTGTAAAAATTAAAGACGAACTCCAATTAGAAGAGCGGATAGTATGTACAAGATCCAGGCAAAGCACTCTCCTCTAGACAGAAGAGAGTACTGTCTTTCATTATCTACAACACCTATGGTGCTGGATATGCGCTACCCAATAAGTAAAGTAAAAAAAATGAATAAGTTCGAGATGAGAAGGAACTTTTATCACGACACTATTTATTCTTCATCTGTAATTTTTAGGGCCTTAGTTGTAAATAAGTGAACCAATTCTTTGTATTTCCAGAAAGATAGTTTCTCTCCTTACAAAGGGAACAATAAGAAACTGGGTCACTTCAAGTTACCACAGGACAACCAATAATACATAAAATTTGAGAGGAAAACAAAGAGAAGAGAAAATATAAAGTGTTAAAAAGTTGGGGGAGATGAGTCCCCATTTAGAAGAGAGCCCCATGGTGAAGAATGAAAAGAAGAGGGATCATGTAGGGCTTGGTTGTGAAGAGAGAGATCGAGACTGTAGCGGAAGTGGCTGAATACCAGTTTTCAGAGGGTACACAGCGTAGGAACATCTCATTTGAGAGCAAAGACACACTTGAGTCTTGTTCTCTGTCCTCCATCTTAAACTTGTACAAAAATTGTAGTAATTACTTGAGATCATCAGGACAATACCTTTGTAATATCTCAAGTCTAATGCTTCCACAGTTGCTGTTCATGGTGAGCATGTTGCAACTCTCAAAATTTACTAGAATTCCTAAAGCTCCAACTAATGTCATCTAGCAAAATAACGCTTCAGAACTTTCAACTTTCAAAGGCATGAAAGTTCAATTGAAGATTTACTGTGTACACCACTGCTTATATGGAAGAAATCATAGAACCACACATATAATGCAGAAGGAAGTTTTATGGGGAAGAGCAATGTGGCTATGGAGTTTCCTGCATTTTGCAGAGAAGGCTCTCACATCTCCACCTCCCCCAAATTCCCCTTCTATTTTTCTAAAATTGTTAACTGTATTATGTATAAAATAAAGGGGTTACAAGAAATAGGCTACCCTGAGTTGGGTGCCCTATACCAAAAACCACAAGGGGACCATAAATTCCAAACAATCTATATAATCAGTGACTGTTAAGGGGTCAGTAATGCCAAAAAGTGGTAGGCAACCCTGCTGTAGGATTGTGTGAAGTGGCGTCCCTAGCCAAGAGGTCGGCTTCAGCATTGGCTTCCCTCCAAATGTGTTTCCAGAATACTGAGAGAGAGCTGCTGATATGCAAAATTTTGTAAAAAATGTAAGCCAAGCGCCTTGGGCAAGAACACTGAGAAGTGGCCCAGGCAGTGGTGTTCTTTGAATCCTCTTCGATCTGTAGGGCATAGCCCCAATTAGGATCAAAATTTCAACGGCCCGTGAGGAGGGCAAGGGCCCCAGCTAGGGTAGATTCTGCATGTCCAATGGGGTTTGAAAGTGCCTCTAACTCCTGAGGGGCCAGGATTGCCGAGAGAGCAATCATCAAAGTTGAATTTGATGTTGCCTACCTCAGGTTTCCACAGGGAAGATCGAGAGATGGTGGATGGTGGCAAATGGAGAAGGCCCTGCCAGTTTTTAGTGAAATCGGCATGTGAAAAATGTCTGAAAGTATGGTGGTGCGTGGTCCAAAAGGTGACAAGGTCTAGAATCTTGTTGAAGCATCGGTGAAGTGAACGTCTTTCCCCCCTTAAAGTTTTTCTGTTGTGTTCTAACCAGGTGACCAAACTAGGGCTGCTATGGCTTCTCTCCAAAGTGTGAAGCCAGATTTAGACCAAGGGGGAATGAGAGACGTGGAGAAAAGGTGAGGTATGGATTCAGGGGTAATCCAGGTCCAATTAAAGAGGGTCAGCAGTTTAGACCAAAGCGAGGTAGCAAAGTCACAGGATAGGAAAAGGTGGTTATTAGTTTCCTCAGCTCTGGTGCACGTGACGCACCTATTAGGTACTGGGAGGCCTCTAACTTGGATTTGGTAGACAGTGAGAGCTCTTTGGGACAAGACGAGCCATAGGAAGGCCTGAATTTTAGGGAGGGGTGAATGGGAACCAGGCTTTAGCCACGATAGAGGGAGGGTTGGGGGGAGAGAGGGGGAGGAGATGATCTTGTGGTACATAGAAGCCACAGTAAAGGATCCCGAAGGGGAAGGGTCCAAAAGAATATGTCTTCGCCACTAGGGGGAGAAAGAGCAGGTCAAGGACATGGCAGTGAACTCTTGGAGTTCTCTATCCATAAGGGCTCTTCTGAAAACTGGGCTGGGATCTCGCCAAGGTGTTCAGGGGGGAGGGGGGTAGTCGGCCAGTGTAGCAATAGTTGCAGCCACTCACAAGAGGAGAGGGACGAGATTTTTCAGTGTGCATTGGCCAATCCACAAGTCTTCCCAAAAGCAAATGCAATGACCTGCTTGAGTATGAAAACGGCTATTGAATAGGAAGTAGTTCTGACTCCTTAGGATGGATCTCCAGAGGCCCGAGATTCTACCACTGGTTTTGCAATGGGGAAGCCAATCGTCACTGCCCAACAGTATTTATGGCAAATAACTTGCCTCCAAACTTGGTCAGGTTTGGTGGCATAATGCCACCACCACTTCCTAACAGGGTAAGGTTGTTGGCTTGAAGCTTGTGGATTCCTAGCCCCCCTGAGTGATGGGGAAGCATACGTTTCCCCACGCAAATGATAGAAATCTGCCTTTCCAACCAGCTAGCCTTCTATCAAACTTGTCAACGAGATGACTCCATCGATCGAATCTAGGCATGCCATGGCAAAGGGGCAGGCCAAGATAGGATGACGGGAGTTCATCAGCCATACATCCCCATCTTTCAACAGAGGAAAAGAGATAAGGATTAGCAATGCAGACCCCCACCATTTTGGTTTTGGCCAGGTTAACCTTGAAGCATGTGGCAAACTCAAAACACATCAAGAACAAAAGAAGGGAGTCCACTTGCTGCCTCGAGGAATTGCAGAAAAAAAGAGTGTCATCCGTATATTGCAAGTGGGAGATGGATGGACCGTAAGTGGAGGATTTGAAGCCTCTGAGGTAACTGCCATTGTCAAATCTAGAGATAGCCCTGCTGAAAACCTTGGCCGCAAAGGCGAAGAGAAAAGGGGATAAGGGGTCACCCTGGCGTACACCCCTAGATGCCAGGAAAAGTCCCCCCTCAATTAACACCAACACAGAAATCTATTTAGTTATGAGAAATTTTCCTTCAATACTTGATTGGTGTTATATCATAACCAACGCAAGTCAGCTCAATAGTTGAAAATTTTGAGTCAAAATATGAAATCTACATACTGCTAATTATATGATGATTATTTTTCTCCCCATGAATGCATATCAAATGCAAGAGTTTCTGATCTCATTTGGCTACTTTCAAGGCATAGTGACCATCTTATCGTGAACACAATTTGAAAATAAAATAAAATAGTGATCCTCATGAACACAATTAGAAGTAATTTAATGATCAATAGACGAATGTAGATCAATATTTGAAATGGCCCAGACAATATACAAGCCAAAGGATTACCTCAAGATAAGCTAGAATATCTGCTTCAGTCACTCTAGCTCCTTCATTGTGTTGCCTTATGATCCATTGACATAATTTGTCCTGATGATAAGAACGTTGAACATAAGAATGATCCATGATTCAACCACCCAAGTAAAGGATGAAATAAATACTTAAATTGCATAGGTAATGACAATCTACACATGAATACAAATATAACTAGCAGTGATCCAAATTCCAACCGCTATTAATATGCAAATCTGAGATCTCCTCCTTAGACGTGCAGACCGATTTCTCTTCCTTAGTTTTAAAAATCTCAACCTTCAAAGAAGGTAGTTTTCAAAAATTAGGTTCCAATTGTTTGGGTATGCAGTGAACACCATAAAAAAAAAATTTGTTTGGGTATGTTTTGTATCACCTAATTCACCCCAATATTGCCTTATTTGGGCATGTCTTTTATCACCTAAATTTACCCAAATTGTATCTCAAAGTCTTAAGACACAAATGTCAAACTTGTCTTAGCTGAGTCATCTAAAATGACATACGACACCATGAGTGTCATGATCGACTAAGTGGTATATGTGGCATACAGCTCATTTGCGTTCGATATTACTCATTGAAGGATCCTCAACACAAACTTTGAAAATCAACAGATAGAACGAACTTTCGTCCACTTGAAGTGGTCGATACCTAAGAACTTGAGTCGATCTAATTTGCACACAAAATGGTCTGATGTTGATGCCAAATTGGATCAATCTCTCATATGACCCATGCTCACATAAGCTAGCGTCGAGAGTAGAAAATAACTGAAATGGCTAATGCTGATGATCATCCATCGTGCAATCGACTTGGGGAGCAGCATGTTATTCAGGTCATCACAAACAATGTTGCTCCAAATGGAACTGCTTCTAGTTTGTTGCGCCTGAGCTACCCTCATATCTTCTAGACAGCACGTGCAGCCCACTGCATAAACCTCATGCTTGAGGCCATAGGCGGTATGACTGAGATTGTAGGCATAGTTAGGAAGGCTAAGTCAGTTAGATCCTTGATCTATAACCACACCCTAACCCTCAGCATGATGTTTAGGCTTACAAAGAAGGAGATAGTTAGGCGGGGGCTCACGAGATTTGCTACATGGTTCTTGCGTTTGCAGGGCATATATAGGATAAGGGTCCAATTGAGGCAAATGTTTACTTCTGATGAGTGGAGAGGATGCAAGTGGGGCCAGGTATCAAAAAGGGAAGAACGCACAAGATATTATCCTATTTAAGAATTTCTAGAGAATGGTCAAGGATGCTCTTAAGGTAATTTTTTTCCTCTAGTTGGAGTCTTGCGCATGGTCGACAGTGACAAACCCTCCATGGGCTCCATATATGAGGCAATGGAAAGTTGCAAGAGATAGCTGAAAATTTGGATAATGATGAGAGCCTCAATGAGCCAATTTGACATATTATTGATGAGAAGTGGGATAGATAGCTACACTGACCATTGTATGCAGCTAGTTATTACTTCAATCCAACTTTTTGTATGTTGATAGGGATATACAAACGAATGACACAATTATTAATGGATTTCATTATTGCCTCGATATGCGCATCCTAAATCAAGAAATCCAAGACATTATATGCTCAGGAAATAATGAATTACAAGTGTGCATTGAAGTCATTTGAGAATGGGATGGCGATAAGGCAGACGACCAAAGTCAATCCAGGTAATATTGTTGATTTCGTATTTCATATGTTATCGTAATTTATTGACTCATAATTAACACACACTTAATTTGCTGCCCATAAGTGCAGCCAGCATGGTTGAAGTGCTCCGAACTTACAAATGATGGCCATTTGGATCTTGAGCCTAACTACTATCTCATATGGTTGTGAGCAATACTGAAATCCTTTTGAAATAGTATCTTACTTTAGTTTAGTCACTGAATATAACTTTGTTAATAGTTACTTTAAGTCCTCAACTTATTTTTTCTTTTATCAGTTTAAACTTCTAAATTATTAGTTTATTAATTAGTATTAGTACCTACTAGTTACTATATAACTCTTATTATTTTCATTTAATGCTATGTATTGCCATATAGGTTCATACAAAGAAAAGAAACAAGCTTGAATCAAAGAGGCTAAATGACTTAGTTTATTTAAAGTTCAATTGATACTTGAAGGATAGATTTGCTAAGCGCAAAAAACGAGACCCTGAATGAAGGGCATGGATAGTGTCATGGAGTGGTTGGTTGTAGATGATAAAGTCGAGGGGCATGAGGGATTGACATGGGACATAGTTGTGGAGGCCTCAGGTATAGCAGCCGACCCCCTCAGGGCCACTAGATCATTTTCACAAACGAGGAGGGAGGTAGAGGAAGACGAGGCAGATTTAGAAGAAACAAAGATGGACTCACAACTCCGATGATTCTCATGATGGACTCACAACTCCGATGCATATGATGTGGGTGGCCCTACTTTTTTTATGATGACTGAAGACTCTCGAGTCTTCAAGTTTATATTTCTCTCCCGTTTTCTCCTATTATGTATATGGACTGGGATGGCATGGACTATTTTAAGTATTGAATATGGATTCTAGTTTGTGATTTGTGAATGTATTATTACTATATTTTCGTTTGTGTTGTCTTAGTACGAGCAGTCTAGTCTAGTACTTTGGAACTTTGGATTATATTTTCTTAATGTGTTGTTGACTAGTTGTCTAATTCTCAAATACTTTGGTTTACTTTGGATGGATTTAACATAAAAAATGTATAAAAAATGCCTGAATTTGCATGTTTATACAGAATTTGGAACTAAAACAGTATTTCCAGACACCCCCTACCCTTGTTCTTCAGTCTAGGCTACCCAGAAATCTCGGCTCCTGCCTAGGCGGCCACTTAGGTGCTAGTCGGCCTGGACCACCCTGGCTGCCTAGGCGCTCATCCAGGCTTTTTTGGTACACTGGAGATCTACATAGTGCACATTCATAACATTAAAATTAATAGAGTCAAGAATATGGTTCATTTGGCAAGAAAGAAATTGAAGGTCAAAACTAAATTGCAAGCAATCATTTCAAGGAGTTCTAAGGGAGATAACTTGGAACATCGAAAATAGCATCCAAATATTTGTTCCACCATAGGATGAAAATCAAAGAATCATTTAAAAAATATGGGGAATCGAATTTCCAAATACACTTGAGTGCAAGAAGTTTATATACGTATAGTGCTTGCAAGAGCCCATTGTGCCCCATACATTGTAATTATTACCCCTTGTACATTCTTCACACATCAATATGCGTGGGATACCCGCTCTAACCCCCCGCAAACTTAGCAAAGAAAAAAAATTGAGTCAAGAATGTTGTTAATTAAGAAATGACTCAAGTTGAATCGTCCAGCAGGAGTCAAGAAAAACCAGATTAAAACTAACAATCAAATAGTGCACCTTGTCAAGCTTGAGATTATGTAGTAAGAAATAATATTATAAGAAAGAGGTTAGCTGCCTTTCGATGCACAATCCAATCATGTAAGTTGGAAGCCAAACGATATGCATAACCCAAGACAAAACATCATAGTCTATGATGGATAAGTCCAAAGATGCATGTTATAGACTAGCCATCTTGCTCATGCCCTTTTGCTAGTGTAATGAGCACCTCTCCCATTATCTATAATGGGTGGCGTGCTCACCCCACACAACATTGTGATGCAAAATGCAAATCTCTAATAGCACTTTATTAGATAATTGATGGAATCGAGGGCAATTTGGGGAATGGTAGTGGGGAATCGTGAAATGCTAGAAGATCCTTATGGTACAGAGCGATGTCCATACAATGTATACTTTAGGATCTTGATTCCAACCTTTTGGGTATCTCACTTTGAGTAGAGTCACTAGACTAGTTCTTGGACAGCTATCTACAACAGGTATCTGCACCCCCTTATTCAAGTTCAATCATACGAACATAATATGTTATAAGCTAATAACATATCATTTTAACGTATATATCATAGGAAAATTAACATGAATGTCCCTTTATCGTTGCAGTATTAAAAAATGTCCAGTATAACTTAAAGTTTTATGTGCATGTGTCTATTTTCTCAAATTTTCCCCGAAATGCCCTTAGTTTGAAACTCCAAGTTCCAAACTAGGGTGTTTCTTTTTTTGGCTTAATTTTCAGTTTGGGATTTCGAATCCAAACTTCTATAAAAAGAAAACAATTGGCAAGTTGAAGTTCAAAAATTGTTATCTATATATTTTTCTTTTTTGGAGATAGGTCCGTTCAAAACTTGGAGTTACGAACTGACTAAAAGTCTAGTTCAAAACTTCAAGTTCCAAACATAATATATAAAAACTCACCTCAAGAGGGAAGACATTGTGCTCCCATGGGGGTGTGCTCCCATAAGAGCACACTGTAAACATAATCCTTCAAATAAATGAATTATTACATTGAAAATTTGAAGATTTGATTTTTTTTTTTTAATATTCATCTGTGAATTTAAGTTCATCCCAAATTTAAAAACACACACATATTTACCTTGAGGGAACAAGTGTTTAATGTGTTTCTAAAGCAACACACTTTAATGGAAGAATAACAAAGATAAAAAGTTGGGCATTTAAAAAGCTGATGTTAACTCATCAAATGCCAAACCTTTTTCCTTTTTCCTTGGGTTCTTCCATTGAAGTGTGCTCCTCCAAGAGTGAAATAGACATGTTTCCTCAGGAAAAAGTGTGTACATGAGTGTTTGTGTTTTTCTTTCTTTTTTCTTTTTTTTGACACTTGGAATCAACTCTAGAATCCTAAATGATTATTTCTGAAAAAAATTAAAATTTTCAATGTAATATGTCATTTATTCGAAGGATTATGTTTATAGTGTGTTCTCATGAGAGTACGTTGTGTTCCCTCTTTTTAAAGGGGTAGGGTTTTGAGATATCATATAGTTCGGAGCTTGAAATTTTGAACCGGTCTTTTAATCAGTTTGTAACTCTAAGTTATCAGCCGACCTATCATCAAAAACGAAAAATATAAGTAACCAATTCATGACTTAAGTTCAAAACCGGTTGTTTAAGAAAAAATTTTGGTATGGAAGTTGAAGTTCCAAACCAAAAATTAAGCTAAAAAATAAA